AAAGAGTTCAAACCACTTGAGAGACTGAAGTACTTTGAACAACAGGTTTCATGGATCGTCTCTGAAAGTCCAACATTGCTTGCAGCCTCATGAAAGTGTTTGAAATTGCTCTCTTATATTTTGCTTGCGAAATCTTGCACAGGCAACCAAACTCTGTCCATGGGGCTTAACGGATTCAAAGTATAGGGGCTTAAAAGGAAATTGACAGATATTGTTGTTGTTGTCGTTCCTTTTGACTTTTTTTTTAAATTGCAATATCAAACAATAGTAGAAACATCACAGAAGTGCCAGAACAACACATGCCGTGAACAAATGATGTAAGCAGAACTGTGGCTCGAAGGCGTGAATTTTGACAAGCTCTGAACTCAGTCCCTCTCGTGCTCCCTGTCCTATGATCTTCAAGAACTTGCTGTCTGGCCCAACCAGTTTCTGCAGCAAGTGAGTGTGATTGAGTGTGCCCAGGTTGTTGAGCAGGTTGAACTTTGCAGGTCTGTACATAGTATAGTAATGCCCTATAGGCATGGATAAAACACTAGGTCCCTAGGTAATACCGTGGCTGCTTATCCAATCCAAGAAAGAGACTTGGTATATTGCTAGCACAGCTATCAGCGATGGAGTCACAGGATGGAAGACTCACTCTTGGAGCTATTAACCTACTCTTGTGTCACTCGCTCATTAACAAGTTTGATCATGTCATATTCGTTAGGCCAAAAGTATAAAAGCTAGTAGAAACAAGTGCCACGCTAGTAGTAGCCATTAAGGTCGACTTAATTAGGTCCAAGCTGGAAGACTTTGTTCGACGAATGCAAAAACAGTCTCCTCTGGGTCCATCGAAGTCTCTGCTGTGCTGCCGCGAATCACAATGTCCTCACATTCAGGTTGTGCTCACTAAGTCGAGAACATCCGACCTGTTCTTTGTCAAACTCAAAAGCGAGGATCGTCAACTATGGTGCTCCCCAAACTACAGGAATCGATATGATGCGCAAGGAAAGGAGCCTTGAGCTCACCACTCGACAAATCAATTTCAGATCAAAGCTCGTTGTGTTGCAAATGATCAAAGAACAGAATTTGATAAACATCAGTGAATAAAGTGCTACTATTCTAGAATCCCTTGTATCCTGAAGCAACGTGAACTGTTCAGTGCGCTTCTCACCTTGCGTTGCAATCTCCAACATGTTGCTTGCACATGCTGAATGGATAAAGGGTTAAGCCAGGTAAACCATGCTGCTGGTGAGTGAAGTGTAAGGACATGGGGAAGACGAAACCAAGCGAGTCTAGTTAGACTTTAAACGACGGTGCAAGTTTCTTGCGCTGAGGTGCCATTCCTTCAATACCGTAAACAAATTTGCTCAAGGTGTCGATTGACTTTGTACGGTACTAAGACTCAGTATGAATATATTCTTTACGGGCTGGCTGTTTGAGGTTTGAGGAATAACATAAGGAGAGGAGTCGTTTCATGTTTTTGAGAAAGGCACGGGGTAAGACTAGGTACTGACAAAGGGAGTGACAAAGGGGTTTGGATGAGCTTTAGGGAGAAGGTTTTGTCGAAGGGGGAAGCCTGTCAAAGTGTGAGAGCTTAGTCGAAGAAAGGGAGGCATAGGCAACCTTGGTCAGGGTCTCAAAGTCGCTTTGCATGTTTCTACGTTCGGCATACTTACTTCCTTCAGTTGACTTGAAATCGTAAAAACAGGGAAAAAAACCTAGCAGGCAAGAAGTTCAGAACAGCTATCATTTGTGCTTCAACAGCTGCCATATGTATCCATATATGTCAGCGGTAGCCGGGCAACACCTTCCTTCATCTGTCTGTTGAACTGCTCTTGCACGTGAACAACTGCTGTAGCTAAGAGTGATATACTGTAATTATCGCCGCCCAATGCAGGCCTAAGGTCAAAGGTGCTCCAAGCTCGTACATCGTGGCAATGCACCTGGCATACAAAAAGCCCTGATGAGTCCTTTCACCAAACACCTCTCTATAGGTTCCAACCTAAGAGCGATGGCTTCCAACCTAATAGTACAAATGACTCTACAGGTTCCAACTGGCAAACAGTCTTTCCTCACCTTGGTATCTTTGTGCCATATGGAGTGCTGAGGATCACTCTGAGATCTTTGCACTTTCTACTCTTCTCTGCTAGTTGATGTGACAGAAGCTGCCCTTGGGCACTTGTTCAGCTCCTCAACATTGTATTCTTCAGAGATGGCCAAGAACTTGGCACCTGCCGGATGTCTTTCAAGGCTCTTGGGTGTTACATGTTGTTACACATCCACAAGTTACACAATTGGTGTGCCTCACATCGGCTTCTTCTATCTAAACTCATCACTTGAGCATTGTACGTCTCAAAAGGCAAGAATTGAATTCATCCAGCGGAACTGGCACAAAGTGCCTTGTTTGTCTTTTGTCTGGCCTTGGAGAAATGTTCAGGAATGCAACCTTCGAAGTCTGCATTACAAAACACTCTGCCTTACTCAATAACTTGGGACCCAGCTTTCCCACCAGTCAGCATAGTTGCCTAAGACCTGGCCAATGTAAAAGCATGTGCAACATCTTGAGGTGTCTCAAGCTACTAGTAGATTGCCAACCTCACCTCTCTGCCTCTCTGAAGTACTTCGTATAAAGCCTTTGGAGTGGCACATTTCACTCGATCCGTTAGCTCTGCATTTTAGCATATTTTAGCAGTCTTGCTGCAGCACCGCCATCTCTACTTGGGCCCGAATATCAGCGACTGCTACGTTCTAAGTAATACCAAAACAGTCGGGTCTTAAATTTGCCAAACAAATCAGAACGTTAAGCATCTTTAAGTTTGACAAACACCTTTTGTCAACCTTTTCAATAAAATTATGTTCAATTGATTAGGCAGGAAACAAACAGGACCCAGCCCCTCTGTACCAGTTGCCTGAGTGGCATACAAAAGGTTGGCAGCCGTTTGGCATCATTGGATGAGTGGGTGAAATAATATGCTTGTCAGCCAAGGCCTAAGCAATCTCTCGAAGTGAATCAACTGCGAGGCCACTAGGCCAAGCCTGGTGTGTTGCATCATTCTGAATCTGCACCAGGTTTTCCTGGGCCAAACGGATCCAAACGAATCCGGAAGATTTATGCAGGTTTTGGAGCTTCAATTCCATTGCTTTTCCCATCTTCACTAGCTTCCTTTGAACATTCCAAGTCAAATTTGCCGCTCAGTTTTTGGGTCGTCCCCTCAACCCTGTGACACGGCAGTTCTGACTTTGGTAAGGACAACTCCAAGCAAGGCGAGGGAGTGACCAATGAACCGATTACGCTGGACCTAAAGCACGTTTGAGAACACTCTTGGAGGTCCGCTTATTTCTTGGCATGTGTGGCAACGAAGAGCATGTAAAGGTGTGCTGTCAGCCCAATGCAATGCCAAAGATCTGTGAGGAACTTCTGGACACGTTCCAAGGTTTCGGCAGCCTGAGGTCTGATGAAGTTTGTGAAGCATTTCCTCTGCACATAGAGTGAGACGAGCATGACATAGATGGACGCATTCATCAAATGCGATCAGCCCGTTCTAACAACGCTTTGAACCAACGCCAAACGACCTCCAAAAACACCTAGATTAGATAAGACCAACACGTATACATAATACGTATACAACTGACTGATCACAGTATAGAAAAACTCAGCTCATAGCATCTGCAGGGAATTTGACCTAAAGGCCAACAGTCGAATCAACTGAATAGGAGAAAAAGGTACAGGACTCACCAATCACAGTGCACTTCAGCGTCAAAGCCTGCAAAGAAAACAAGCTGCTTGGGTCATTAATCCATTGTGAATTGAACATCACAAGACTGATGTGAATAAGACTGAACAGATTTGAAAATCTGATGGATTTTGTCTTTGGGAGTTTTCAATTTCAAACCTGACCTATTGCTGCTAGTTTTCAACTGGAAGCAAGAGTTTAAGCCTGAAAAGGCAGTTACCATTACTTCCCCTACCTTGAAAGCATCATGTGCGTTTTGGAGAAAAACAATGTCTAAAGTCATTATAAGGACAAACACTTATGTATTTGTGGAAATGAGTAGATTCGTTTTACATCAGAAACTCATGGAAGCTCTAAACTACTTCTTCTCGCCTGCTTGCCTACCCAGAACGAGTAAGTAGTACGACAACATGTAATTACTTACCACTACATGTAATTACTTATATTATATTACTTAAAGTGTATACTTCTATAGCTTCACTATGGAACCAGCTTCAATGCGTATAAACCTTCATTTAAAAAAAGCTTTTCTTTCACGGTATTTTTTACCCTCACCAGGACCTCCTGCGTTTGGGAGCCAGTGTCTCTCGTCCGTTGAGCCCCCGGGCCTGCGGAAATCTCTGCTTGACTTTGCTAAGAAGATCGTGGCCTTGGATGTGCTAAGATGTATTCTTGTTACCAGGAGCTTCTTGTTACTAGTAATGGCCTCCAACCTACTAGCGATGGCCTCCACCTATATAGTAGCTTCTTGCTAATGCATATTGAGCTATTAGAAGATTATGACTTACAACCGACACGCCGACACCTTCCTTACACAATCTCCCTATCTTACGATGACCACAAGTCGTTGTCATGCAGTTCTTGTGCCCAATGAGAATGTTCAAATAGCACTGAGTGGTGAAGCGAAAACCTTCCCCAGGTGTTCAATGGCTTCGTGTCTTGTCATGAAGCTTCAACATTAAATAGCGTATGCACTTAACAAGATATGCCAAGTCACTGTTTGTGGCCATGCCCCCCCGCAGACCACAATGAACCCCAAAACCATCCTCCTTGTAATGAAATGGCAACGGCAGCTTTTGACTGCACAAAACCCAAGATCGATGAGTTCGCCTGCCATCCTCGATGAGTTCGACTGCTACTCACTCCAGGCGACCGGATGTCCCAAGATACAGCTGCAAGGCCGCACTAACCAAGTGATCGAACACATAACCGTTTCACTGGAGGGCGAAGTGTCCGATTCAATTCCCCGTTTGGCTTTTTCGTATGCTCTCATTCTGAGCTGTTCTAGGCACAGAATGAAGTTTGATCTGGTTGCTCCTGGCTCTTGGACACACCAATGAACCGATCAACTCCGCAGTGGCCAACCTTGGTCTGTACAAGCAGCTTGTTGCCGCCTAGGTAGGCAAGCTGTACAGTTCGAAGCTGAGATGGACGAACATTCCCCTCAGTCATCCAATAAGTAGCTCGTCGCGCATTCCTGAACGATGCAGGACATGACTCTTCAGCCACTCAGTCTTCTGGCTTTGCAGGCCCAGTTGATGTCTTTCCAAGAATGAGAGCTCTTTATGGCCCTTGGAAAGATTTAGCTCTTATATGCTCTTATGATTTAGTACAGTACCAACTTTCGAGTTGCAAACATGCAGCCGACTGCATCTTTCCAACATCACAAGGCAGGCCATGGGCTCCATGGATTTTATGTCTCATTCATTCAAGCTTTGTTGCCCCCGCACCACCACATCTTGACCACCTAAAGCAACCTTTAGTCACTTTAGTCTGAAGATATTCTGCGATTTTTTTGGCACCGAATCTTGACAAACTATATACCAAAGCCACCAGGCTCCAAATGGCCTGCGATGGCCATCAACTGCCATTGCGGGTGCGAATCTTGGCCGCCACGAAAAATGTTCCGTTTTTGCTACGTCTATCATGAACTGGCTCTTCATATTCCTAATGCATGCCTAATGCAAACTATACCAGAAAAGCTCGGATTTCGATTCATTACACAGAAAATGCAGTGATCAAGGCCTGTTGGCTAAGCCTCAAATGCAAAGAACATTAGTTCAGTTCAAGGCACACGGACTCTTCCCCCAGAGTTGCCGCCATGAGACCTGCAGAAAAAAGTGCTGTTGAGGTCAGGACCAGGACAGCTCTGAGAAATCAACAATATGAAGCTCTTTGGATAAACGCCACGCCTCCTGGGCTGTTGATACTCTGTGAGTTCTTTTCCTCAGCAGTGGTCTGCTTGGTCATGAAGCGCTGTAGTGCGATCAAACACTAGCCAGGCGCAATGGAAAGGCGAATGCAAAGGCATGCAATAAGGACCCAACCGATTTGCCTTGGTCGGAGCGACTTTGAGAAACAAGCAAAACACCTAGGCAATGGCGGTCCCCTCGTTCTGAGACAAATAAACTACTGGCAAACTCTTTGAAGCTGTATGATACTTCAAAATCAGCCTGCTCGGTGTTGAAGAACTACTCCGTTCAGCAGGTTCCGATGAGTGTGCGCTCGTGCTCAACCCCCAACTTCTGACGACAGGATCATGTCGCTTGGTTCCCGAGCCTTGTCTCATACTGAAAGTCCGGAAGACTATTATTTGGATGTTGATTCTGTGAAATGATTCAAACAGGGCAGGATTTTTTGCTATATTTTTGTTTGGGTACCTCGGTACCAGCGACACTGAAATGACCGGAAGACTCCCCAAACAAAAGTGGTCGGTGGACATCAACTTGTGAAGCAAAAGGGAGACCCACTTCACCAGCCTAGTCACTGGTGGTGAAATTAGCTCAGCGCATGCAAACTCACATCAGGACGGGAAAATGATTATAAATATGGTATCATATGAATCATATGGTAGTAAAAGTTACAAGTAAGAATATCTTTGAGCAGGTCTGTTAAGCTTAGAAGCATTTGCTGAACATGGAGCCACATGAAGTTCTGTAGATTTGCAAAAAACAATAAACATGTAGCAGCTTCAAATGGCATTTTCCATGGTCTGTTGGGGCAAACCTGCCGTCTCGAGAATTTGGGGCTGTGGTTCAAAAATCAGTCAACAATGGAAGTCCAAACGGGGTATACAACAGCAAGTGGATCACCCCCGCTAGACTCTGGACCCGAGCAGCTACAGATCAAACACAGTACATAGAACTTGATCGCGTGTCAAGATCCCTCCCCGACTCGACTGCCTGATGGAAGTGCACTTCAACAAGGTTTGGTAGTCTTCACCTTGCAATGAACAAAACAAAATGCAAAGGAATGTATCCCTGCAGGCAACACTTTGCAAAAAGGTTCTTTTATGATCCACCAATGAACAAATTCATGTTCCAAATGAAGCCTATGTGGCAGCATGGGGTGGTGTCTGCCCCCCCCGCCCACACACTGAGTCTGTGATTGCAAAAGATTGATCACTTGCTCAACAACATGTCCAATGTGGAATCTGTGAAATAGGGATGATGGGAAATTGGAAGGAGGTGATCAGGGAAGACGTCAATTCTATTCAACTCTTCTAACTCCTTGGCGAAATTCTTGACACGGGCCTGGAACAGCCGAGGCAACAAACCATCGACAAAGGTAAAGTGAGTTGGCTCGGGTCAAGACTTGAGACTTCCATGCCACGAGAAAAGACCTTGATCTCATCCTGAAAGGTGGACGACTCATCACGCTTGAACACATGGGAAAGATATGCCAGAATCATCAAATATTCCACCTGAGACTGCGCTAAGCTTTGGTCCAGGATGCCTTGGTTGTGTGTAAGCCTTGGCGCAGTCCAGGTGCAATAGTCCAGCCCGACCAAAACATGCGGTCCAATCACTATGTCATGCTATGCTAGTGTGGCTGCCTCAATATTGTTCCAACCACCAGGACCCTAGTGCTCCTTACCGCCATTGTTTTACTCTATACGCTGCAGGTGCACTCATACTTTGGTATGCAAATGTCAAAGGTTAGGACTCGCAGCGATAGATGATAGAAGCGAACTATGTGCTCTTGTTGATTCTGACACAATCAGTATGTCCAATTCATTCTTGTTGGGAGAAGACAACAAAGGTGTACAAAGGTGATCCTCTTTAGCACTCAGGCTGACAAAATGGGCATTGACTGTAACTTTGTCAAAAAGCCAAGGGCCTTTCAGCCCTTTGTTTATGTACGAATCATAGGAGTCGGGGCGTGTTTCCACTCATTTCCACCACGGAGCTCATAGATGCAGAAAAGATCCAAGGGCCGCTTTTCTGGCCTGCGTGAGTCCAGGTCTTTGCAGGGGTGGGATGTGAATTCATGGTTTCATGCATGCTTGCTGTTTTACGGCTTGCTTCAATGCACTGCTCCCATGCCTTTCAGATTACTGCACACTGCACTGACACCAGGTCTCCCACATGTCTGGCACGCACCTGAACAAAGGAGCAGCCTGGCTCACGGAGTCGTTGAAGACCATTCGAACTGGTTGATCTGACCTCGGTAGGTTCGATTCAACATGGCAAGATTTGCTTTAAGGCCTGACACTGGTTGACCAGGAATACTCAATTGACCAAAAGGCAAAATAAGTCAATCCGTGTAGCTCTGGAATGCCTGGGGCATCTGGGGCTTCTGCTTGTAGGCAAAGTCGCGGAAGCATGCTCTCCACTCATTTGCCTCAGGAGTCTAGCTGCAGGGCTTTGGAGAGAATCGATCGATCCAAGCCTGGGTCAATCGAATCGCCCTGGCCAAGTTGTATGGCGTCCGAATTATGCACACTACCAAAGGAGAAAAGGACGTACTACGTTCATGACGAGAATCCAGAAACATATCCTAACAGAATCGAGTGCCAAACATGCACTGGGGCCATCCTTTAGGGCTCTGACCCTAGGAATGGGCTCTGGAAGCGCAAAGGGATCATGCCAGCTGAAAGCTGGAGACTCGTGGCTGACTGGTCCCACAGAGCTTACAAAGACTACGTAGGCACTGCGTTCTTCCTGAGTTCTTTTGGGTCCAAGGCAGTCACACTTGATCCCTAACTTAATCTGTGTCCGTGAATGAAAAAGATGCGTCCAGAAGAACCATGAAAGGCATAAAACATCGTAAACCATAAAGCCTGCCAAGGTGCTGCACTGTATCCCTTAGCCTTTTGCTCCAGCAATCTCACTTCCTCAATCTCAGGCCAGGCAAATCCAGTTTAGTGGAAACCCATCATACTAGCATCATGCAGCTACGCCCATCGAGCAGCTGTACAACACTTATTTAAACCACCTCCATATCTCCAAGCTTTGGCTCTATTGCTGCTACATGCGCAGGATTTACACGCCGCGGGCAGCAGCATGGCTGTGAATTAGCGGGAAATTCGTGTTTTGGGGAATCACATCTCTGTATGCATCAAACTGTAGCTGATTGTAGCTGGACATAATTTCAGCTGCCATGAACCTATATGCGTCCAAATGCTGTCATAACTATATTTAAAACAAATATTAATATATAATCAATGAATTTGAACTCAACTCCTACATTCCTTATTTTGAGGTCTTCCTTGCCAACAATCAGCCACCTTGACTATTTGTGACATGTTTCTGCAATCACACGAAGTTCAAAGGGACTCCATCTTCCCACAATTTTAAAACTTCGAATCTTCGCCCTCTTGCTCTCCTCTACAACCCCAGGCTCCCATCAGCACTCCTTTCCTAGCATTTCTGCTCTTCTCTTGCTAGAAAAGAAGGATTAAACCACCTCGTGCCAAAAACATTCGACTCCTGTTTTCCGGATTCCAACATGGCTTAACTCTTTCATAAACTTTAACATGTGTATATAGTTATACACATATGCATGGAACATTGTTGGCTGCGACCACACGTGAATCAACAAAACCGAGCGCAACCCTTTGAGTCCAGTGTGTTCTGGCATTCCCACAACCCTCCCAAACGCAGTTCTTTCTTCATTTCTAGGATCCTTTTGTTCAATTTGTGGACCGTGGGCAAAATGTGTAATGCAATCGTGGAAATCAATGATGTGCATTTTCTTGTTGCCTTGCCATAGAAAAGTGAACTTCGATGCCAAGATTCTGGGCAATCAGAGTTCTGTATCTTCGACCTCACTGAATCCAAAATCCAAGTGTTTGGGTGATCAGTGGTTGCAACTTCAGTGAGAAATGCTTACCACACTTCCATTGCAACGTGGGCAAACGGAGGCACAAATTCAGGGTATCCGCGCACGGCTTCAGTTTTGCTACAAGCATTTCCGGTAAAGACTCAATGCAAGCAATCGGCATGCCTAGCGGGTTTCATCACATGTCAGTACGACCAAATGACAAATAAAACATACCCAGAATGAAATAAGTGACCAAAAAGGAACTGGTGAGGATGGTATAAAAATGAATTTGACTCTGCAGAATACGAGACAAACAATCAAACTAGAGAGGCGCACGTGAGCCGTAGCAGGGGTGCATGCAAAGGCAAACAGGTCCAAAACAGCAATTGTCAGCACACGGGGATGCTTCAAGTCAGTGTCAGCGCAAAGCTATCACTCAAGCAATCGCTTGGAAAACACTATTCACCCAATGTGTTCAGTTTTTGTTTGCAGAAACACATTCCATAGACAAACTGGGCACCCGAGCACCAACAGATCTAGAATTGAAAGAGCCCGCTTCTGGTCCACCACAACATCCTTCCTTGCAGTACGAAGTTTCCATGCTGCATAACTTAGACGGATGATGACAAATATTGATCACCATGGACCATGCCTTTGAATGAAGCAGCTGCAGCTGCTTGCTGGGGTACAGACCATACCAATCGGATTGAAGTTTCCATCGCGCCAGAAACTTCTTAGTGCATTCAACGGGACCCTCTGCACAGCTTGACTTTTGGTAGCTGCACATGCCCGATTTAAACATGCTGAAGGACCGAAGGATCAACCTTGAGTTCAACCAGGGGAAGGATGACCCCAAAACTAGATTTTTGATTCCAGCTTACTCAGCTGGTACAGCTGTACAAGTCTTCAAAATGCAGACTTGAGACCGTCTTCAACCGCAAGACATGGTGCCCAAAGGACTAATTAAGCTAATCCGATTTGGAGATGAGCTTCTGCTCCATTCTGCTCCATTGCCGAACTTCGATCCTTAGACTCCAGCCGCTTTGCCCGGATCCCGCGAGCACGAACAAGTCAAAAGATTCAACGGTTGGGAACAGCTCCACCATAGTTCTTCCTGCATTCGGCCCACAGCAACGGCGTTGCGTTACGCACATCGATAAACGAACGAACGGACGGAGTTGCAATACGGACCAGTTTCATGGAAACTGCGTTATATCGCTTGACGATGCTTTATGCTCCAAACAGCCTATTTAGTGCACCTCTGCAGAAGGTGCGCTCGTTCTAATTTACTGCACTTGCAAAGGAAACATTAAATGCAAAGCCCCGGAGGCAACCCAAGGGGCTGGGAAAAGTAAATGATCAAACCAGGCTTAAAGAACGACCAACTGCAACATCGAGTTCTTGCTGGACTTGTCTAAGGCTGCTAAGGTAGAATGTCTTAAGGCTGAACAACGCATGGATCTTCCCAAGCAAAGACCGTTCAAAGAATGGGAGGAAAATAACAAGGGCTGATGACTTTTCCTTAACTTGCAACAACCTAATCCAGAGAACAAATGAGTAATTGGTACAAAAGGGCGTGATACTGTGTTTCAAGTAAGTTAAACCGTAGGTTAAACCCTTGGACATGTTTGAAGAACCCCGATTTGAGTGAGGTCCTATGATCTCCAGAAGTTTGCTCTCCGGTCCCACCAAGTCCTTATTATGCCGCCAATTTTCCAGAGCAGCAGTAGAACAAAGTCGACGTTGATTGTCACTGGAAAGCGCACCGTAGCGCCAACTACAGTAATTACTATAGTTGTACACATGAACACTTAAAGAGTGGTGTGTATCTAGCATGTTCTACAGCTGAAGAAGTGCTGCTCTTACTTAGCCTGAGGATCGCTGGAACATGCTGCAACCATACCAATCATATCCATCCGAATCCACACTACTCACACTGTGCGCAGTCTGTCACAACATCCTTTCAATGTAAACCAAAGAAACATGTGCAAGATGCAAGCACGTGGCTCGATCTTGGCTAGACCTCCCTCGCAAAAAAACAAAGCTATTGAAAGCCTAGGTTGGGGAACAAGTTGCCCAAAGTTGGCCAAAGAACTCACTCGCAGAATTGCACTGAGTATCCGGCCTCCGGGTTCAGTGTGTTTGTCCGGTTGCCACGGACCACAATGTCCTGCAAGGTGCTAGAACTGATGCCTCTCAATTCATGGAATTCGGAGAAACATGGAGAAAGTGTGTCTTTCCAGGTCCTGAAATAGGGTGAATTTTTCCGTGAGCCTCTCGCCTGGCGTACGAGCAGTGTGGTTGGCTCGAGATGGCTGCAGTAACCTTCCAACAGCTCTGCTCCATGGTCAATCTCTACAACTTGTCGTTTTCGGGAACGTATGTTTCAGCTCCCACGAGTACAAAAAGAATCAACTTATCAGCGCCCGTCTTTTTCTCTATCACGTGAGACAAACAAATATGCGACGCATGACCATGTGAAATAGACAAATGCCTGGAGCGAAGTGGCATCAAAGTTTGATGCTCTATCAGAGCACTTGTACGGCCCAAACATGATCACCTACACTGTCAAGGTCTGAGCGCAGTGTCTGTTCAACTTCGAGGGTAGTGTTTGCCGCTCAGGGTATCACATGGATGACGATTGAACTAAGCAAATACTTCAACACATGATGAGTTGAGGTTCTTCAAGTGCCGCTGACTAGCTGAGGGTCTATTGAGTGTGCTTCAAGCTGTTGGCCGCTTGGCACTTGTGCAACCAAATAACACGAAGGAATGAAGAGTGTCAAGATATATATATATACTTGCAACAGCTTGCTTGCTACACAGAAGTTCGATATTGTGCACAGGAAGCAAATCAATGCATAGCCCACGTAAACCCATGGAGGAAAGGAGATTCCTCGCCTAGATTCAAAGGATATCCCTGCTGGTACATCTGTGCAATAAACCTGTCCAGAGTGGAGATTGGGATGATTCCATCGCTGAGATACGGCTTACAATTTGCAGGCAGACTGTCTTGGCATCAACAGTTTTTACAGATACTTTTGTACAAGAACTGAGGATTCCTTCTGAAAAGGATTGCTTCTTCCTAGCTAGCAGTACCTTAAGAAAGCAATGGCCTTCATGAAAGCAGTATCTGAATACCGTGCTTCTGGAGCTATGCCGTTCAACTATTGAACTATTGGACTACATTCAACTCCTTTCTGGTGTTCTAGAAAGGATTGAGAACAGGTTGTCAAGAAAGTCTTCTTCTCAGGGCATCCAAGCAACTTGTGCAAGTCCTCCACCGCACCCTCATCATTGATTGCAAACAGGGTTGGGCCTACAGGCGAAACAAAAAGTGACGCTTCTGCGTGAAAGTCGGACTGTGTAGATGTCAAACGCACCCGCTCAGGTCTGGGGCTCCACAAGGTTCTTAGTTTTGCTTCGTCATACGCTGTCGACACATGTCGAAACACCGGCACCGCCGCCTTTCTTCTGGCCGCCAATACCTTGCTTACACCCGCATGAAACGCATCAAACTTATATAAATGCGAAGAACATATGGCTTGGTACATCCTGGTACCCTTTAACTTTAAACAGGATTCGGTCTCGGAGCTAAATGTTTAACTCCGCTAAGTTGACCGCTCCCACACACGTTGTAGCCGTTCAACACCTGCCATTCCAAAAGGATGACTTGGGAAGGTGGTGACCGAAGAGGGAACATCATCACTTCCTCACTCCTCTTGTTCGTTCGCACCATCTGAAAGCTCTATGTTTGCCTCAGGAGAAAATCTTTACTCCCGGCCTGGTGGGTTGCGGTTGCACCGTTCTTGTCGCTCACCGCGTGCTCCTGGGCAAGTCCAAACAGAATTGGCTAGGGCTAAATTGGCCACACCATCAGAAACAAACTGCAAAGCCTTTTCTACTTGACCCGTGCGGCAAGGTTCTGTGAGAAGCTTGAGAACGACCCGCAACTGGTCTGCAGCCTCAGCTCCCAATATGAGGCAGCAAAAGACTCCAGCAAATGTTTGATCTTTTGATGCCATTGGCAAGCTTGGCTTCCTTGCATCTTCCGGGACATCCACCTTGAAAGGCAACAAACAGCAAGATTCGCCCAGGGCGTTAAACAAGCAACTCAACAGTGGGAACTGAATGAACCAAGCAGGATATAACAAATCAATGCAAACCTGTGCATCACACCTCTGTGTAAACAAATGCGATGTTCAAATGCAATGATGTTTTATCATGATGCTTGCCTGGCTCAAAGTGCAACCCATAGACATCTTGCAGTGTTGTGGTCCTGTCAATCCTCAGAATCTGTGCGCAAATTCCAACCGCATTGGTCACATACAACTACACATGTGATTGCATCGGTGCATTTCTTCCACCCTTTTGTGCATTACTTTTGACTTTGGTCCTTTTGAACACCTCTTGGCGCACTGAACATCATGTTATCATGTGTATTGATTCGTTGACCCCAGTTTTATACCTAACCACATTGACTGCTGAAGAAAGATTCAATAACAAAAATTAGTTCGCCAGCGGAGATAGTCGAAACACCATGTATTTGCGTTGGCGCAGAGCTTCATCCGCCCACGTAGTTGGACACTTTGCTTGCATTGCTCAGCCACGTGCCTAGTTCATCAGTGGCCTTCCCCGAACCAACTGAGACAAATTATATAGGTGTTTTAGATTGAGGATATCCAATGCCACGACATGTCAACAGGCCCTTGAGCTGAGGTGCCGGAAACTAATGCCATGATCTCCTATAAAGCGCGGATCAACTGAGCCGAAAGGACTTCAATACTCCCAGGCCTATTCCCATGTATCAGGTGGATCGTTGTAGCAACTTCAGTGTGCTCCAAAGGGCAGAACCCAGCTGGGCAGAGCCCAGCTGGTTTATTGCTGTGCTGGTTTCACATGTCTCAAAGAAACCTCAGCCTTTTCTTTGCTTCCAGCTTTGGCGAAGCAGCACCAAGATTCTGGTGCAAACAATCGGACTAAATCGACCTGGCTCAAGAAGGTACCCAAGGCACAGTAACCACTTTGATTGTTCAGGCCTTGCACATAACAGTGTTTCACATTCACCGAGATGGGGTAGATTAAAAGGCATGCCCCAGCTGAAAAGGAAGCTTGGAAGGATCTAATCACATGGACTGGCGGTTCTCGCGATTCTCCAACCTGTCATGTGAGGGTGAGAGTCAAAAGCAAGCCAGTGGATGCAGGTAGTGGCGCCCTAACAAACAAGCCCTGCAGCATCTTCAAACATGCACAGACATTGAACAAACTTCCATATGATCCAATTTCCACATATATACTTGTTATTGTATTGTTGGTTCTGCAAAAATCACCATCATCACATTCAATCTCCGACACGAGGCTCAAGCACAAAGAAACACACATGATAAACATTGGCTGCAGAATAATTCTACCTTGTGTGGCAAGGAGGAATGGTGCTACTAGGGGCTCCTGGCATCGCTACTAGGAACAAGAACGCTTCTAGGGGCTCCTGGCCGTACTACTAGGATCTACTAGGAGCAAGGACGCTACTAAAGGGCTCCTGATCACACTTCATCGGTTCCAAACCGTGTCAAACTGAGTGCAAATGGTGAACAAGATACAAGACAAAGAGGCAGGAGAATTGATGGAGGTGATTTCAGTAATTGCAGAACTTGCATTTGGATGCTTTTGCAAGGAATGTAACAATTTCTCCAGCCCTGGCTGGACATTAGACTACGAGACTCTATTGCGCACCATTGACAGGCTACATGTAGCAAGTTGGACAAGCGAACTGACGCCGGAAAATACACGGATCGAGAAACTGATAACTCTACAGCTCGAATCGGCTTGAGCAGTCCAACTACTCGACTGATTCGAGGAGCAAATGTAGCAAGCCGGACCAATTCAGCGACCAGTTCTCGATGGTGCTGGCTCTGAAGACTCTCCCTTTAGGCGACAAGGGCCTTGTCCGGGCATCTTGGTTTGCAAGTCAAGGAGGTGGGAAAGTGGCAAAGTTGATAAATCCAAGTAGAGGGGCTCAAGCTATCTTTATCTGCTTTGTTGCATGCTCTTTGACTCTTTTTGATCCATGAGAAGCAAGAAGCCAAGGATATGTTTTGAACAAGACTGGCATACTCCCATAATTACAGTAACCTAATCGATGGTCTCGTCCTACACTCGATCCCGCATCTGAAGCACCTGAACCCCCCTCGGACTGGTGCACCTTCGCCTCCGAATCACAGTTGGAGAGCTTAGCGTGCCTGGAAGCTGAAAGGCCAAACGTAACTCTATGTAAGCGCATTCTAAATACATCCAAATACCACAAAAATAACATAAATAAAGGCTTGCAAAAAATTACTCTCACCTATCCTATCCGATATCTTCTTTGCAAAAATAACTTGTCTTAAGTGAACCACCCGATAAGTCTTCTTGAAGAATCGCAGAAGAGCATTGCCAAGATGCCAAGATTTGGTGACATCTGTTTGCTTTCTTCGCAATCGCCCTGCAAGGAAGGCATGGTTCTCAGTGGAACATGTCACTGTAATCTGTCCTTGGTATGGATTGCAAAACAACAAAACAAACTATGTGCACATATATATATATTGTATATATGAAACTGTATGTTACCATGGTACCCATACTTTAGGGAACTTGAAGTACTGTACTTTGCGCAACTATCAGGGAGGAATATGCCTCTCGCAAAGCATTGCCACTAGTTTAATCAATCAAAAGCATGCCTGGTCCATACCTTTGCATAAAATCAATCCACATGAAACTGGATGCATGGACAATTTCTTCTGTCAAAGTTTCGTTGGCTTGGATTGGTCTTTTGAAGTCTTTTTGAGCTGTCAAGTTGTGACTGATTTGGATTGCCTTCATGGCTATTCTCAAAGGTTCTGGACTGTTCAATTTAGAAAAGTCCTTGGTTTGATTTTTGTTGGGTGATGCAGAGGGGTTAACTCATTGCAAGGAGTAGCAAACTTTCGTTGCCACATAAGAAATTGCATAAATTCAGAAGATTGTATTGGGCAAAAGTTGCTTAAGCCAACTGAGCATGATGATGTTCTTTGACAACAATGAACACGGCACAAATTGCATTGAGGAAAAGGATGGAAAAGGATAAAGGCCTCCTACAAGCGATGAGTATCACATTTGGACACGATTTCTATTCAAGAACGAAACAGTTGCCATACACACAGATGTTCTCTTCCTACTGTAAGGCATACAGTAAGAAGAGAACATCTCTGTTTATTGAAACTGTAGTATTCTATTTAGGACATGCGTTTCAATCACACAAGATAGTTCATACCAATTGCAGTAGGACATTGATTGCTATCTATGAGACCAAGTCTCCTGAAAACCTGTAACAAACAGGCTCATATTGAGATTCGGTGCCTCTTGGTCTTTTAAATGCATCACGGATTGCTTTTGTTGCCGGTTGGAAGGGGGTCTAGTGGTGGTGCGCTGTGTCACAGCAGCTTTGTACATCCTCCTCTTCAAGATGTGGTTCGCCAGAAACTGCACTAGCCCTCGCAAAGAATTCTATATAATATAGATCCTAGTGGGAACTGTTGCAACGCCCGCAACTGTTCAACAAAGTCTCCTGGTCCTAATGGCTTTGTAATAATCCTGCCTTCGAGTTGTTGAGTGCTGGAAAATTCCAGCGGCTTGTGCCTTAACTAGAGTACCAAGGGAAGTAGCATTGAGTAGCATATGCATGTGTATACATAATATATATATAACAATTTTTACTATGATTGTATACAGATTGCAAAACATGTTTGTAATATGGATTTATATGTGGTCACACCTCCTCCTGCTCCTCCTCCTCCTATCTAATGATAGCATCGGCTGAATTGGTGCTAGGGACTTGGCAAGTAGCAGCATTTATTATTTGTTCCATCCAGCCAGAAGCTATAGATTCTGTTTGGATACTGATAAGCATCTGATAATCCGCTTCAAAGCAAGCAACATATGTTGACAAACACAAAGGAATTATGTGCAATCACCAGGTAATGTGCTTCCACATGTGTCAAAGTGAGCAGTCAAAAACTGAACTTCCAGAAGCCTGTTCTTGGTCGATCATTTTCATGCACTTCTGTGCAGTGTGCCGATCAAAATGTCCACCTGCAAAGGCAGGCCAAGAGAGATCACATGGTCGGCAATGCCCCCCCTCATTCCAAGGTGTGTTGTTATACCGTCTGGCCGCAACATCAGTATATGCTGGCGGGCATTGCCTTTCCAAAGCCAACCACTCTTGAGTATGAAGTAGTGTCCAATAATTAAATCCCTTTGTCTCTGTTACTACGCAATGTTGGGATTTCAGAATTTTTGTAACTAAAGTAGTGGAACCGGCTATGACTATTGGATACAGTCGGTGGAATAAACTGCTGAACGCAACAGCTGTTTGACTCAAGCTGCCCACGCTCTCAGGCCCACAGACCAGCCTTTCCAGCCGCCGCCCTCGCTGAGTTGCAACGCCTGTTGCAAAGCATCGCTCTGACGCAGTAGCCTTGGAGGACAAGAAAACCAAAACAAAAACGTTTGACAAGAACTTGCAACGAGTGCTCGTTTGGTGAACTAGGTGAACTACTGGCCTGCTCATGTCAAGATGATGAACTCTGCCTACCATGGTCTTCATCTTCCCTAGCACAAATCTGAAAGCACTTGTCACGGGATCCTGAGGTGTTATTACAGAACAAAAGAACAACTCGAGCTACAGATTTGCACTGAAAGATTCTGAGGATTGAAGTGTCAAATCAAATCAATACTATGGTAAGAGCTCCCGGTACATGTAGAAGCACACTCCGCATTGCAGTTGCCACCTTTGAAGGCATTTGGTCCAGTAAGGTGCCGGTTATAGTTATACATCCAATCATTCCGTAGAATTCCCACCACCCAGACCGGAGGTCTCTTGGACATGAGCTGGCGTGTGGCAATGCGACTCAGACCTCAGGCCATCGGCAGATTTGAAGCTCTGAGGTCTCGGTGAAAACAATGCACAGGCAGCTTCAAGCACCAATCCACACGATCAATATGAATATAGATGGAGTCTCCATGTTGGATACCTTTACTGACATAGTTCCAAGAACTTTTCTGACTCAGTTCTTACTTCCGGCCACAAGCTGGTTGAAAAATGCTCTGGGCTGCTGGCAATTCCCTATAGACGGATCCTCGGAAACCTTGGAAATAGGCTGGAAGATCATTCTAGTGCTAAGTTGTACCCAAAGGTTGCATCATGTTGCACCTACAACCAGTCCAAGAACTGCAAAGGAGGCACGAGAGACAAGAACTTGAAGCAGCTCTCCGTCCATTCCGTCCAAAGTTTTCACAGGAGGAACCAGTGGGATTAAGGCATTAAGGATTGAAGTAATTCGAGGTCCCTGGCTCTGACCTTCCAACACTCAACCTTTAAATGGATTGGGCAAACCTCCTGAACAAGGCATATCGTGTCGTTGTCAGCTTCAGCTTGTAGCAAGAAGTCCACAACCGCCAGGTGGCCATGCTCAGCTGCGATGGACAAAAGCATTCTCCCATCTGTGAGTGTCGCATCTGTGTCAGCTTCAGGATGAAAGAACAGTTGCACAACTTCCAAGAGGCCTCAAGATTCCAAGCCGCGCAACTTCTAAGTGACCATCGAGCTGCGAAAGACACCTGTTTCCCCATCATTGCTTGTTGCATCTTTGTCATCTCCAGCTCAGTGATGTGCTTTTAGGATTAATAGAGGGGTTGATTTGGTAATTTCCCCACAAGCTATTAC